CTCATTCTATATCATTTTCATTCATTAACATTTGATATTTTTTATTATTTTCTCAAATTTAGGGGAAAAACAAACAATTTTTCTTTTAATCACTTTTCTGTACAACAAAAATCAAAAAAGTTTTCACAGTTTTCTAGAAAACTACAAAAAATTGAGTTTTTTTTGCTCAAAATTTTCAATCATGGTATATTTCTTAATTTCCAATCAAATTTAATTTTCTGCCTTTTTCCTTACATTTGTGCAAAAACAAACAAGTTTGCGCTTAAACACTTTTCTGTACAGCAAAAATTAAAAAAGTTATCACAGTTTTCCCGAAAAGTACAAAAAATTGTGATTTCATTGCTGTGAAAAATTAAAACCTTGGTATTTTTCTCAATTCTTAAAAAAAATTGATTTTCTGCTTTTTTCCTTAAATTTTGTGCGAAAACAAAAAACTTTTCCTTTAGACACTCTTCTGTACAACAAAAATCAAAAAAAGTTATTACATTATCTAAAAGAAAGTCCAAAAAATAGAGATTTATTGATTTTGAAAAATTCAAGGTTTGGTATTTTTTTAAAATTTCAATAAAACTTGTTTTATGCTTTTTTCCTTAAATTTTGTGTAATAACAAACAACTTTTCCTTTAGACACTTTTCTGTACAACAAAAATCAAAAAAGTTATTACATTTTCTAAAATAAAGTCCAAAAAATTGAGATTTATTGATTTTAAAAACTTTAAGGTTTGGTTATATATTTAAAATTACAATAAAATTTGCATTTCTGCTTTTTCCTTAAATTATGTGCAAAAGCAAACAGCTTTTCCTTTAGACACATTTCTGTACAACAAAAATTAAAAAAGTTATAACATTTTCTAAAAAAAAGACCAAGAAATTGAGACTTATTGACTTTAAAAACTTCAAAATTTTTGTTATCTTTTTAAAATTACAATAAAATTTTCTTTTCTTTCTTTTTCCTTAAATTTGGAGCAAAATCAAACAACTCTGCCTTTAGACACTGTTCTGTACAACTAAATTCAAAAAAGGTATAAGTCTTTTTCAAAAAAAGCACAAAAAATTGAGATTCTTTGGCTAAGAAATTTTCAAACTTTGGTATTTTTGTCAATTTTTAATAACGTTTGTTTTTCATCCTTTTTCTTAAATTTGGAGCAAAAACAAACAACTTTGCCTTTAGAAACTGCTCTATACAACAAAAATAAAAAGGTTAACACAGTTTTCTAGAAAAGTACAAAAAATTGAGATTTATTGGCTCAGAAAACTTCAAACTTTAGTATTTTTGTCAATTTTCAATAAAATTTGTTTTTCTCTCTTTTTCTTTCAATTTAGAGCAAAATCAAACAACTTTGCTTTAGACACTGTTCTGGACAACAAAAAGCAAAAAAGTTATCACAGGTTTCCAGAAAAGTACAAAAAATTGAGATTTATTGGCTCAGAAAATTTTAAACTTTGGTATTTTTGTCAATTTTCAATAAAATTTTTGTTTTTCACTTTCCTTAAATTTGGAGTAAAAACAATCAACTTTACCTTTAATCACTTTTCTGTACAACAAAAATCAAAAAAGTTATTACATTTTCTAAAAACAAGTCCAAAAAATTGAGATTTATTGACTTTGAAAACTTCAAGGTTTGGTATCTTTTTAAAATTACAATAAAACTTGCTTTTCTGCTTTTTCCTTTAAATTTTGTGCAAAAACAAGCAACTTTGCCTTTAAACACTTTTTTGTACAACAAAAATCTAAAAATTTATCAAACTTTTCCAGAGAAGTAAAAAAAAAAGATTTTTTCCTTTTCAAATTTTTCATTTTAAAGTCAATAACTATCTCTATGTGAAGTTTCGATTTTTTCTTTTTCAAATTTTACTTTTAAAATTTAATTGTTTCTCATTCTCTCTATTATTCATTCTCATTCTCGCTTATTCTCTCTTATTCTCGTTTATTCTCTTTTATTCTTTCTCATTCTCTCTTATTATCTTTTTTTTTGTATCTCATTTTCTGTCATTTTCTTTTATTGTCTCTTATTCTTTCTTAATGTCTTATTTTCGCTTATTCTCTCTTATTCTTTCTCATTTTCTCTTATTTTATATTATTTCCTCTTATTTTCTTATAATTTTCTCTTTTCCCTCTTATTATTTCTTATTGTCTCTCATTCTCACTCATTTTATTTTATTTTTACTCATTCTTTCGTAACGTCAGTCATTTTTCTTATTTTCACTCATTTTCTCTTATTCTCTCTTATTCACTCATATTTTCGTTTATTTTCTCTCCTGGTTTAGCATTATTTCTTATTATATTTTATTATCTCTTTTTGTATATCGTTTTCTGTCATTTTCTAATATTTTCTTTTATTTTCTCTTAATGTCTCTCATTCTCTCTCATTTTTCTTAATGCCTTATTTCATCTTATTCTTTCTTATTTTCTCGCAGTATCTCTTATTTTCTATTATTCTCTCTTATTTTCTTTCATTTTTTCACATTGTTTCTCATTATACCTTATTCTCTCTTATTATGTCTCATTCTCTCTTTTTTTCTCTTATCCTCTCTTATCTTTTCTTATTCCCTCTTATTCTCTCTTATTGTCTCTCTTTTTTTCTTATTTTTTGTTATTCTCGTTTATTTTTTCTCATTCTCTCTTATTCTTTCTCATTTTCTCTCATTATCTCTTAACTTTTATTATTCCCTCTAATTCTCTTATTGTCTCTCATTATTTTTCCCACTTATTCTTTCACATTCTCCCCATTCTCTCTTAATCTTACTCATTCACACATATTCTTTTATATTTTCTTCTATTCTCGCTTATTCACTCTTATTCTATTTCATCCATTCTCATTCTTTCGTACTTTTTCTTTTTCCCTTTTATTTTTTCTTATTGTCTCTCACTATCACTCATTATCTCTTATTTTTAATCATTCTTTCTGAATGTCACCTATTCTCTCTTACTTTCATTCATTTTCTCTTATTCTCTCTCATGCTTTATCAATATCTCTTATTATATCTTATTCTCTCTTATTATCTTTTTTTGTATCTCATGCTCTCTCATTATGTTTCATTCTATGTCATTATTTTTCATAATATCTTATTGTTGCTTTATTCTCTCATTCTCACTCATTCCCTTTTATTCTCGTTTATTATCTCTTATTCTTTCTCATTGTCTATCATTATCTCTTATTGTATATTATTGTTTCATTCTCTCTTATTCTTTCATATTTTCTCTTATTCTTTCTCATTTTCTCTCATTATTTCTTATTTTCTATTATTCTCTCTCGTTCCTTCTCATTGTCTCTCATTATCTCTTATTTTTCACTCATTCTCTCTTGTTTTCCCTTATTTTTTCTTATTCTCTCTTATTGTCTCTCTTTCTTTCTTATTTTCCCTTATTACTCTTTATTTTTTCTTAATCTCTCTTTTTATCTCATTTCCTAAAGCTGTCTCTCATTCTCTATTATTATATCTCATTCTCTTTAATTTTCTCTTATTCTCGCTTATTATATTACTCATTCACTCTTATTCTCAGTCATTTTCTCTTATTCGCACTTATTCTTTCTCATTCAGTCTTACTCTCTCTTATTCTCAGTCATTTTCTCTTATTATCATTCATTTTCTTTTCTTTTCTCTTATTTTCTCTTATTTTTACACATTTTCTCTTAATCTCACTTATTCTCTCTTATTTTCCCTTATTACTCTTTATTTTTTCTTAATCTCTCTTCTTCTAAAGCTGTCTCTCATTCTCTTTTATTGTCTCACATTCTCTTTTATTTTCTCTTATTCTCGCTTATTATTTCTCATTTACTCTTATTCTCTCTCATTCTCTCTTATTCTCAGTCATTTTCTCTTATTTTCTCTTATTCCCACTCATTTCTTCTTCTTTTCTCTTATTCTCTCTCATTCTCTATTATTTTTACTCATTTTCTCTTAATCTCATTTATTCTCTCTTATTTTCAATCATTTTCTCTTATTCTCCTTTATTCTCTCTCATGCTTTATAATTATCTCCTATTATATCTTATTCTTTTTTTTTGTATCTTATTTTCTCTTATTCTCTTTTATTTTCTCTTATTCTCTCTCATGCTCTCTTATTCTTTCTTAATGTCTTATACTAGCTTATTATTTCTCATTCTTTATCAATGTCTCTTACATCCTATTCTCTCTTATTCTTCATTATTATCTCTCATTCTCTCTTATTATCTCTAATTCTTTATCATTCTTTCTTATAATATCTTATTCTATATATTATTATTGCTTTATTCTCTCATACACTCTTCTTCCTACTCATTCGCTCTTATTCTCTCTTATTTTGTACTATTATCTATCATTATCTCTTATTCTTGATTATTCTTTCTCATTCTCTCTTATTTTGTATTATGGTTTCATTCCCTCTTATTCTTTCATATTTTCTCTTATTTTCGCTAATTTTCTCTTATTCTTTCTCATTTTCTCTCATTATTTCATATTTTCTATTATTCTCTCTCATTCCTTCTTATTGACTCTCATTATCTCTTATTCCCTTTTATTTTTCTCTCATTCTCTTTTATTTTCTCTTATTTTTTTTCATTATCTCTTATTGTCTCTCTTTCATTCTTTTTTTCCCTTATTACTCCCTACTTTTTCTTATTCTTACTTTTTCTCTCCTTTCCTAAAGCTGTCTCTCCTTCTCTCTTATTATCTCTCATTCTCTTTTATTTTCTCTTATTCTCGCTTATTCTTTCTCATTCATTCATATTTTCTCTTATTCTCAGTCATTTTCCCTTATTTTCAGGTCCATGAAGTTTTAAACGTTTAAAAAACGAAAAATTTTAATTCTACCAGACCAATTTTTTTTTCACCCAGACTTGAAGGAAATGTATCAGGGAAGTCAGATGTATCATTGTTAACGTGTTTCGAATTCCGGAAGTCAGCCATCTTGGATTTATTAAATTCCGTATATATCTCTGGGTGTTTTCGATCCTGTCACTCTGAGTGCTCTGAAATGAGCAAGGGGTTCTCAAACAATGTCAAATATAGATTAATTAAATGGTAAATTCTGATTGGCTAAAACACACTGAGCCTGACGTGCTTGTGATACAGGCTGCAGTTTATGGTGACATGTAACCAAAAAGTAGTTGTAACTTTTTATTTTCCCCTAAATAGACTATGTTCAGGCAGTTCTCGTGCTCTGGCTCGACGCTCGGTCTCTAACCTACCGAGCGTGAATCCGTTGGATCAGAGCGTTGTAAACATCCAACGAATTTTTTTAAAATTTGCTTTTTGAAGCATGGCCGAAATTTTTGGTTTGGGTTTAATCGACCCAATTGTCCTGAGTGCAATCCCAAATATAATTTTTGCCGATGACGACGCTGAAGAAATTTTAATCGCAATGACGAAAGAGGTGCATGAAAAAATTAGAGGTTATTTTGAGGAAATAATTCCACGATATTCAATATCAGGTAAGTATTTTAATTAATTATATTGTTTAATAGATTAGTGTACATGGAATAATTAAATTTATATTTTAGTAACATTTCTACTAAAAGAATTTTCAATTGATTGGAATCTTTAAATAATTCAGTTTTTAATTGATTGGAAGATGTAATAATTGCATTTATGATAGACGTTGGTATGAAATAATTGAATTTTTTTATTAAACTACAATTTAGAATAATTGAGTTTTAAATTGGTTAAAATTTGGAATAATGTAATTTTTAATCGATTGAAATGTCGAATAATTGAATTTTAAAGTGTTTGAAATTCGAAATAATTTTTGAAAATTTATTTTATTGTTAGATTCGTTCTTAAAAAAATTTTTCAGTTTTAATATTGACGATTTTTTTTTATTAAAAAATTATTATAATTATTTTTTAAAGAAATTCTTTAAAAAACACATTTAAAGCCTTTGACAGCGTATTGAAGTGTTTTGAGTAAATTTGTTGTCACCTTTTGGTAACCTATTTTTAAAAAATTATTCACTTTTTCCCCTATTTTAATAAAAAAAAGGTACTGCGATCCCTGCGCTATAGTTTTTATAAAGATCTTCATAAATTTTTTTTAATTTTATATCTTAAATAGAATAAAAATTAAAATTTTCGTATTTCCTTCAATAGTGTCTGGGTATACAAAAATTAAAAAACAATTTTACAGAAAAAAAAATTTTTTTTCGCCCTGTTATGTTGTTTACAAGTTTCAATAATTTTCGATTCTCAAGTCAATATATTTATGTAATGATAAGTTTTTTTTAAACAAATTTGAATTTTTATCTGTTGCTTCTACTCAATAAAAGTTTCTTAATATTATGGATAGAAGTGAAATTCTTTTGTTAATTTTGCAGACTTCAAATCACATTTTCGAATGACTCGGCGAACGTTTCAAAATTTGTTGGAAACTCTTGCTCCATCGCTGATTGATTGGAGGAATGCAGAACAAACCACAGATCCGGAGAAGCAATTATGCATAGCTGTATGGTTGTTATGCAATCTAGAAGTATACAGGTATGATTTGTTAATATATTAAATTCAATAACCCGCAGTCAGTCACAAGGTGAGGATTTTCCTCACAAGGATCGTGCCTATAGTAAATTTGATTAGTATTTAATTTTTTAATTTTTATTATAAACAAGATCTACCTTTTGTAATCCAACATGTAAAAATAATATCGCTTCTTAAAATAAATTCCTCAATTAGTGCCAATTTCTAGATTTCATCCTTCAAACAACTTTTATTGAAAACTTGACATTCAAATTTAGAGTTTTCGTCAATTTAAAAATGAAAAATCGCTATTTGAGGAAGATTTTTGCTCAACTTGACATAAACATTCATTTCTTTATTCCATATATTGACAAAAAGTTAAAAAAGTATATAACAAATTCTTAGTTTTTTTTCCAAAAATATTACATTTTAATCTAGAGATTTTGTTGACTCCAAAGTAAATAATCGCAATTTAAGAAATATTTCTGCTCGACTTGATCCAAAACATTTATTTCTTCATTTCCCATATTAAAACAGGGTTCAGAAACTAGAGAAGAAAAAACCGAATTTTTTTCCAAAAATTTGACATTTTAATTTCGAGATTTACCGAATTTAAAATTAATTTGAAATTCACTATTCGCAATTTAGAGAAAACTTTTGCTCGACTTGATTTCAAACCTTTTTTCTAAGTTCAAAATATCGAGAGAGTTTCTAAAAAATTAAAACCAAAAAACCGAAATTTTTTTCCCAAAATTTGACATTTTATTGTGAACATTTCGCCGATTTAAAATCAAAAATTCGCTATTTAAAGAATATTTTTGCTCGTCTTGATCCCAAACCTTTTTTTGTAGGTTTCCCATATCGAGAGAGTTTCTAAAAAAGTAAAACCAAAAAACTGAAATTTTTTTCCAAAATTTGACATTTTATTTTGGACATTTCGCCGATTTAACATCGAAAAATCGCTATTTAGAGAATACTACTGCTCGACTTGATCCCAAACATTTTTTTCTAGGTTACCCATACCAAAGAATTGTTTAAAAATTTAAATCTGGAAAACTAAAATTTTTTCCCAAAATTTGACATTTTATTTTGGACATTTTGCCGATTTAAAATCGAAAAAATACTATTTAGAGAATATCATTGCTCGACTTGATCCCAAACCTTTTCTTCTAGGTTCCTTATATCGAGAAAGTATCTAAAAAATTAAATCTAGAAAACCGAAATTTTTTTTCCAAAATTTGACATTTTATTGTGGACATTTCGCCGATTTAAAATCAAAAATTCGCTATTTAAAGAATATTATTGCTCAACTTGATCCCAAACCATTTTTTCTAGGTTCCCCATATCGAGAGAGTTTCTAAAAAATTGAAAACAAAAAACCGAAATTTTTTTCTCGAAATTTGATATATTATTGTGGACATTACGCCGATTTAAAATCGAAAAAACGCTATTTAGAGAATACTACTGGTCGACTTGATCCCAATCCTTTTTTTCTAGGTTCCCCTTATCGAGAGAGTTTCTTAAAAATTAAAAACAAAAAACCGAAATTTTTTTCCCGAAATTTGACTTTTTATTTTGGACATTTCGCCGATTTACCATCGAAAAATCGCTATTTAGTGAATATTACTGCTCGACTTGATCCCAAACCTTTTTTTCTAGGTTCCGCATATCGAAGGAGTATCTAAAAAATTAAATCTAGAAAACCGAAATTTTTTTTCCAAAATTTGACATTTTATTGTGGACATTTCGCCGATTTAAAATCAAAAATTCGCTATTTAAAGAATATTTTTGCTCGTCTTGATCCCAAACCTTTTTTCTAGGTTTCCCATATCGAGAGAGTTTCTAAAAAAGTAAAACCAAAAAACTGAAATTTTTTTCCAAAATTTGACATTTTATTTTGGACATTTCGCCGATTTAACATCGAAAAATCGCTATTTAGAGAATACTACTGCTCGACTTGATCCTAAACCTTTTTTTCTAGGATTCCCATACCGAGAGAGTTTCTAAAAAATTGAAAACAAAAAACCGAAATTTTTTTTCCAAAATTTAAAATTTTATTTTGGACATTTCGCCGATTTAAAATCGAAAAAACGCTATTTAGAGAATATTACTGCTCGACTTGATCCTAAACCTTTTTTTTAGTTTGCTCACATCAAGATTGTGTCAAAAAAGTTAAATTTTAAAAATCGAAATTTTTTTTCAAAAATTTGACATTTTATTTTTGAGATTTTCTCGATTTTAAATTGAATATTTGCAAATTGAGGAATATTTTTGTTTAACTTGATCTTTAACCTTTTTTTCTAGGTTCCTAATATCGAGGTAGTGTCTGAAATGTTAAATCTCGAGTTGAACAAAATAACAATCGCTCGAAAAAATTTGTGTGAAAATTATATGGACTTCAATTTAAAGAATTTAGATTTGCAAATATTTTTGCAATTTCTGTTTCTAAAAAAAATTATTATTTACAGCTGATTATTTATTATTATTTATTTCTTTTAGATCTGTCGCTGATCGCTTTGGGGTTTCCATCAACACGGCGTGGCGTTGCACCATGAAAGTGTGCCGCGCGCTGTGCGAAAGGTCGGGAGATTATATAAGATGGCCACAAGGACGTGAGCTGCGAAGAGTTCAAGAGGAATTTGAGGAAATCAGTGGGTTTCCTAATGTCATTGGGGCCATTGATGGATGCCACATTCAAATTAGTGCTCCCTCAGAAAATCCTGACAGCTATTTTTGTCGAAAGAACTTTCATTCTTTGTTGCTGCAAGGGATTTGCGATGCCAATTTACGTTTTATAAACATTTATGCTGGCATTTGCGGAAGTGTTCATGATGCCCGTGTCTGGAACTTGAGCGACATTAAAGAAGCCATTGAAGTTGACAAGGAGCGTTACTTTCCTGGTGACAGTCACATGCTCGGCGACTCGGCCTATGGTGTCCAGTCTTTTTTAATGGTCCCCTATAAAGATTACGGCAACATGACGGCTGTACAAAGACATTATAATACGGTTCTGTCGAAACATCGAGTTGTCGTCGAAAGGGGATATGGTTTGCTGAAAGGTCGTTGTCGCAGATTAAAATATTTATATTTGCAAAAGATCAAAAATGGATCTTTGATCATTGCTGCGTGTTGTGTGCTGCACAACATTTGTCTCGACCTAGATGACGAAGTAAACGAGGAGATTTTGAACGAACTCGACCCTATTGAAGAAGATGATCTTGATCCCCTTGAAAATGAGAGAATCAATCTTCCTGCCCAAATTAAGAGGGACGCTATTGCCGAAATGTTATTCGAGACAAGAAGACGTTGAAATTCTTTCCGGTATCTTTCAATATGGGATTGAGGGGTAAAGTGCGAAGTGGGGTAAAGTGATAAACAAACAATGCCTTACTTTAATTAAAAATATTGAAACTGTTGTATAACTTTTGTTGTGTGCTAAAACTATTTTTTACAGTGAAAAACGTGTCTGCACATTTACCTTTTTAATTTAAGAATGTAAATAGAAAATAAGTGGTTTTTAAATGTTTTTGCAGAATTTACTTTATGTTGTAAGTTTAAAGTGTGTTTTATTTTTATTCTAAGTAATTAGTTATTAATATTTATTATTTAACGTTTGTTTATCGGAATGTAACAGGGTGTCTACTGGTTATGGAAGTCCTGGAAATATCCTTGAATTTTAAAAATTGTCCTGAAGTTTAGTGAAAAGTTCTGGAATTTTAATTTTTGTTCCTGAAAATTTTAAGTTTTAAATAATTTGGTTTGAATTTTACATTATATCAGGGATCACAGGCTGACATTTTATCACCTTTTTTTTCTTTTTCAAATTTGGTCACCTATTTCACCTGTTTCATTAAATTGTCCCCTATTTCACCTATTTTGAGAATTTTTTTATCTGCTTTATATTTCTTCAATTTTGAGTTTTAATTTATTACAAATAAAATTAATTACTCCAAATATTAATTTAAAATTTCAATCAATTAGAACTTCAGTTTTTTCAAAATTCAATTAATTAAAAACTCGATGACTCAAATTTTAGTAAATTAAGAAATCAATTACTCCAAATTTTAATCAATTATAAATTCAATTCTTCCACACTCCAATCATTGAAAAACTTAAATATTCTATGTTTTAATCAATTAAAAATTCAATTATTTCACATTTTTTTCAGTTAAAAATTCAATTCTTGTACATTCAATTGTTTGACACTCCAATCACTTAAAAATTCAATTATTCCAAATTTAAAGAAATGGTGAATGCAATTGTTAAAAATTTCTGTCAATTGAAATTTTAATTATTGCAAATTTTAAAAAATAAAAAATTAAATTGTTATTGATTTTAATCGGATAAAAGTTCAATTATTCCAAACTGTGATCAATTATAAATTCAATTAATCTACTTTGCCATCAATTAACAATCTAATTATTCTAAATTTTGATAATTTATGTACTCAGTTATTTAACACGCCAATTAGTCAAAATTTAATAATTTAAAAATTTTTAAAAAATACAAAAAATTAACTGTTACTGTTTGGAATCGAAAGAAATTGAAAAAAGTTCATTTTTTAATTGATTGCAGGGTGGAACAATTGTGTCTTTATTTGAAAATGATTGGAAATAATTTAATTTTAATTTGATTGGAAAGTGGAGTAATTAAATTTATGTTTGAGTAACATTTGGAATATTTGAATTCTGAATTGGTTACATTGTACAATAATTAAGTTTTGAATTGTTTAGAATTTGGAGTAATTGAATTAACGAAATGTTTGGTACACTATATGATAATTAACGTCAATTGATAATGAGATGTTCTTCGTTAATCATAATCATCTGTAATCAAATATTAATAAAATGTAAATATTTATATAATTGAATTTATATTTGAATTTATATTGTGGGAAAGTCCCACGTGATGAAGTATGGAAAAATAGGGTTTCGTACATCCAATTATTTGGCGAACCAAATTAATATTTCGGGTTGAAAATGGTGGAAAATGATAGAGCAGAATATACCTGACCGCGCTGTTCTCTGATTCAAGTAAAATTAATTGTAAAAATAGTAAAAAAAAATTCCCGAAAAGTGCACTGTTTCCTATTGAAAGTGACAGGCAACACAAGGCAACATGGCGGCAAAGCATTGACGGCCGGCCGGTCGGGCTCACGTAGGCTGATTGATTGATTGATTGACTGATTGATTGATTGATTGATTGACATATTATAATAATAATAATAATATTAATAATAATAATTATTATTATTGTTATTATAATTAATTTTAATAATTAATTTTAATTTTGATTACATTGGATCACTCAAATGTTCTAAAAAATATTCCAAAATTTTCTAAAAAAGCATAAAAAATTGTGTTTCAATATTTCAATTGTTTATAATAATAATTGTACATATTTGACAATTATTAATAAATTCTGGACAGGTAAGTCTCCATCCGTTCAAAAATTAATTTTAATTTTGATCACATTGGATCAATCAAATGTTCAAAAAAATATTCTAAAATTTTCTAAAAAAGCATAAAAAATTGTTTTTCAATATTTCAATTGTTTATTACAATAATTGTAAATATTTGACAATTACTAATAAATTCTGAACAGGTAAGTCTGCATGCGTTCAAAAATTAATTTTAATATTGATCACATTGGATCACTCAAATGTTCAAAAAAAATCCTAAAATTTTCTAAAAAAGCATAAAAAATTGTTTTTCAATATTTCAATTGTTTATTATAGTAATTGTAAGTAGTTGACAATTATTAATAAATTCTGAACAAGTAAATCTCCAAGCGTTCGAAAATTAATTTTAATTTTGATCACATTGGATCACTCAAATGTTCAAAAAAAATTCTAAAATTTTCTAAAAAAGCATAAAAAATTGTTTTTCAATATTTCAATTGTTTATTACAATAATTGTAAGTAGTTGACAATTATTAATAAATTCTGAACAGGTAAGTCTCCATATGTTCAAAAATTAATTTTAATTTTGATCACATTGGATCACTCTAAAGTTAAAAAAAATTCAAAAACTTTCTGAAAACCTCATAAAAAGTTGTTTTTCACTATTTAAATTGTTTATTATAATAATTGTAAATAGTTGACAATTATTAATAAATTCTGAACAGGTAAGTCTGCATGCGTTTGAAAATTAATATTAATATTGATCACATTGGATCACTCAAATGTTCAAAAAAATATTCCAAAATTTTCTAAAAAAGCATAAAAAATTGTGTTTCAATATTTCAATTGTTTATAATAATAATTGTACATATTTGACAATTATTAATAAATTCTGGACAGGTAAGTCTCCATGCGTTCAAAAATTAATTTTAATCACATTGGATCAATCAAATGTTCCAAAAAATATTCTAAAATTTTCTGAAAAAGCATAAAAATTTGTTTTTCAATATTTCAATTGTTTATTACAATAATTGTAAATATTTGACAATTACTAATAAATTCTGAACAGGTAAGTCTGCATGCGTTCAAAAATTAATTTTAATATTGATCACATTGGATCACTCAAATGTTCAAAAAAAATTCTAAAATTTTCTAAAATTAAAATTAATTTTCGAACGCATGGAGACTTACCTGTTCAGAATTTATTTATAATTGTCAACTATTTAAAATTATTATAATAAACAATTGAAATAGTGAAGAACAATTTTTTACGAAGTTTTCAGAAAGTTTTTGAATTTTTTTTTTTAACTTTATAGTGATCCAATGTGATAAAAATTAAAATTAATTTTTGAACGCATGCAGACTTACCTGTTCAGAATTTATTAATAATTTTCAACTATTTACAATTATTGTAATAAACAATTGAAATATTAAAAAAACAATTTTTATGTTTTTTAGAAAATTTTAGAATATTTTTTTGAACATTTCAGTGATCCAATGTGATCGATATTAAAATTAATTTTTGAACGCATGGAGACTTACCTGTTCAGAATTTATTAATAATTGTCAACTACTTACAATTATTATAATAAACAATTGAAATAGTAAAAATCAATTTTTTATGATGTTTTCAGAAAGTTTTTGAATTTTTTTTAAACATTTGAGTGATCCAATGTGATGAAAATTAAAATTAATTTTCGAAAGCTTGCGACTTACCTGTTCATAATTTATTATTAATTGTCAAATATTTACAATTATTATAATAAACAATTGAAATACTCAAAATAAAATTTTTACAACTTTTTTAGAAAATTTTTGATCTTTTTTAACATTTGAGTTATCCAATGTGATCAAAATTAAAATTAATTTTCGAACGCTTGGAGATTTACTTGTTCAGAATTTATTAATATTTGGTAAATATTTACAATTATTATAACAAACAATTGAAATATTGAAAAACATATTTTTACAATTTTTTTAGAAAATTTTTGATTTTTTTTAACATTTGAGTGATCCAATGTGATGAAAATTAAAATTAATGTTCGAAGGCATGCGACTTACCTGTTCATAATTTATTAATAATTGTCAAATATTTACAATTATTATAATAAACAATTGAAATATTGAAAAACAAATTTTTATGATGATTTCAGAAAGTTTTTGAATTTTTTTTAAACATTTGAGTGATCCAATGTGATGAAAATTAAAATTAATTTTCGAAAGCTTGCGACTTACCTGTTCATTATTTATTATTAATTGTCAAATATTTACAATTATTATAATAAACAATTGAAATACTCAAAATAAAATTTTTACAACTTTTTTAGAAAATTTTTGATCTTTTTTAACATTTGAGTTATCCAATGTGATCAAAATTAAAATTAATTTTCGAACGCTTGGAGATTTACTTGTTCAGAATTTATTAATATTTGGTAAATATTTACAATTATTATAACAAACAATTGAAATATTGAAAAACATATTTTTACAATTTTTTTAGAAAATTTTTGATTTTTTTTAACATTTGAGTGATCCAATGTGATGAAAATTAAAATTAATGTTCGAAGGCATGCGACTTACCTGTTCATAATTTATTAATAATTGTCAAATATTTACAATTATTATAATAAACAATTGAAATACTCAAAATTAAATTTTTACAACTTTTTTAGAAAATTTTTAATTTTTTTTAATATTTGAGTGATCCAATGTGATCAAAATTAAAATTAATTTTCGAAAACATGGAGACTAGCCTGTTCAGAATTCATTAACAATTGTTTAATATTTACAATTATTATAATAATTAATTGAAATATTGAAAAACAAATTTTTATGCTTTTTTAGAAAATTTTAGAATATTTTTTTGAACATTTGAGTGATCCAATGTGATCAAAATTAAAATTAATTTTCGAACGCATGCAGACTTACCTGTTCAGAATTTATTAATAATTGTCAACTATTTACAATTATTGTAATAAACAATTGAAATATTGAAAAACAATTTTTTATGCTTCTTTAGAAAATTTTAGAATTTTTTTTGAACATTTGAGTGATCCAATGTGATCAATATTAAAATTAATTTTTGAACGCATGCAGACTTACCTGTTCAGAATTTATTAATAATTGTCAACTACTTACAATTATTATAATAAACAATTGAAATAGTAAAAATCAATTTTTTATGATGTTTTCAGAAAGTTTTTGAAATTTTTGAACATTTGAGTGATCCAATGTGATCAATATTAAAATTAATTTTTGAACGCATGCAGACTTACCTGTTCAGAATTTATTAGTAATTGTCAAATATGTACAATTATTATTATAAACAATTGAAATATTGAAACACAATTTTTTATGCTTTTTTAGAAAATTTTGGAATATTTTTTAGAACATTTGAGTGATCCAATGTAATCAAAATTAAAATTAATTATTAAAATTAATTATAATAACAATAATAATAATTATTATTATTAATATTATTATTATTATTATAATATGTCAATCAATCAATCAATCAATCAGTCAATCAATCAATCAATCAATCAGCCTACGTGAGCCCGACCGGCCGGCCGTCAATGCTTTGCCGCCATGTTGCCTTGTGTTGCCTGTCACTTTCAATAGGAAACAGTGCACTTTTCGGGAATTTTTTTTTACTATTTTTACAATTAATTTTACTTGAATCAGAGAACAGCGCGGTCAGGTATATTCTGCTCTATCATTTTCCACCATTTTCAACCCGAAATATTAATTTGGTTCGCCAAATAATTGGAAGTACGAAACCCTATTTTTCCATACTTCATCACGTGGGACTTTCCCACATGGCCTTAAAAATAATTAAATTTTAAATTGGTTAAAATTTGGAATAACGTTATTTTTAATCGATTGCAATGTGGAATAATTGAATTTTGAATAGTTCAAAATTTGGAATAAATTTTGATAATTAATTTTCCTGTTACATTAGTTGAAAAAAAACATTTTTAAAATTTAAAATTGACAATTTTCCTAATTAGCGAATTATTGTACTCAAATTTTATTGATAAATAATTTTTTACGAATTGAGCTTAGGATTTTTTACAAATCAGACATTGAACGTTTTTGAAGATGTTACACTTATTGCATTCGGTTAAATTTATTTCATTATTCTTTAATGAGCATCAAAATTAAACTTATTTTGATTTAAATTCTGTTTTAAAGTATATGTGTGTTGGAAAGCCCTGGAATTTCAAATTAGGTTTTCAGTAGATACCCTGACTAAAAATTGATTTTGTATTAAATTAACTTTATTTAAAAAATACATTAACATTTTGAAAAGTTGTTAGTGGGGTAAAGCGAGAAATAACTTGTGGGGTAAAGTTGGAACTATGAAACCAATGTTGCAACGAAACTCGCAACGATAAAAATTTATGTTTTGATTACGACAACGATTTGAAAGAAAATTGTTACTACTTTAAGCAGGTTAGAAATAATTTTATTTTAATTAATTCATACAGTATACACGAGAAAAAACTGTAATTAATTTTTTTGTTTAGTTCAATGCTTAAAAAATTATAAGACAACAGTATACTTCTTTGTACAACAAAAAATAACAATTATTATTAACTTTAATGTGGTTTGTCATATTTTTTTATAATCCTGAAGATGCAAGTGCACCTTCTGAATCACGTTTTTTAAAGTTATGCTAAATGTTGATACATAATAAAAAATTTTAGACCTCAATTTCAATAAAACTCTTTTTTATTCTTTCATTAGAAAAATGTTTTTAACATTATAAAAGTAAATTTAACTTTTATAGAATTTCTCTCTTAAAATTAGTTTCACAATAAGAAATGGTCCGCAGGACATATCATTACAACACGCTATATTTACATACCTTTTACAATGAAACTAAAATATTAAGTCTTTTTTCTCTGACTATTGCAGAAGGCAGTATAATCTATAAAAAGGGTCAGTTCAATGAATTTAATATATCGCTTTACTAAATACTATTAAGTCCTTAAATGAAAACAATCAATTTAAAGTTTTTTATGCTAATTGAGACATTTATAGTTGCTTCCTTATCAGCTTCTTGTTATTAATTCAATGCTTGGATAGAATAAGGAGACGTAGCGCTCGGCTGCACGGCCTCACACCAGTCAAACTGTCAAAATATTGTTAAAAATCATAAAGGAAAAAAGTTGCGCTTTTTAATTTCTTATAAGGCAGTACATTTTAAAATTCAAATTTTTCAATTTTAATTTTTAACAATATTTTGACAGCTTGACTGGTGTGAGGCCGTGCGGCCGAGCGCTACGTCCCCTTATTCTATGCAAGCATTTAATTGTAAGTATTACAGTTAAATTATTTTTAATATTTACACTAAATCTAAATAGAATTTTTTATAAATTAAAATAAACGCATTTTATAAAATATAATTAGCCCACAAATTCTGAAGTGAACGATTCTATTATTATATTCTAAAATTACGTTTTCTAACCTTAAATGAAATTTAATGGACTGGCCCTTTAAAATCACAGTATTATCACATACATATTTAGATATAACACAGCATGGAACGTTTTGTTAAGAATAATAAGACGACAAAAAAATACGAAGTTAACGAATGAAATATAAAAATAGATTAAATTTATGGCCAAATTTATAGGCAACGAAATATGAATGAAAATAGATGTCGGAAGACAAAGACGAAGATTTATTTCTTCATTCCGTCGAGAATATTAACATACCTCTCAAAAGTATTATTAAACTTTTCTAACGATTTTTCTTGCTTCTCGTGGTGTCCTCCGATTAAATTCACCATTTTCTGCTGAAAAGTTGGAGAGCTTTGTCTTTTTCGCCGCTTCCCTTTGGTTTTTTTCGATTTCTGTTTTCCTTCGATGGAGCTATCACTGTCGGACTGTGAAGATTCTTTGGGTTTGAAACCATTCAAATTTGATGTTGTTGACACTGGTGTAATTTGCGGCTTTTTGTACATGAATTCGTTCATGACTTCAAAATGCTGCCAGTCATTTCGTCCCCCACCAGTTTGTTTCTTCATCAACAATTGGTTTTTGTAAGTGTTTTGAAGGCCTTTCAATTTTGATTCTAATTGTTGAGCCGTTAAATTCATGTTCAATTCTTCCTTAAACCTCTTCGCGATACTGTTAAAAGCCCTTATTCTGATGAATTTCCCAGCTTTTTTTTCTTCCAATTCTTTATATGCATCGATAAAAAATTGAACCATTTGAGGCGTCCATTGTAGTTCACCTGTTAAAAAAATTAATACATAAATTCATGCGACAAACTATTGAATATCCATAAGTGCCATTTTACGTAAAATGTCCCGAATTTATTGTCTTGCTTGTTTGTAATATATTGTCAACAATTTTTTTTACTTCTTTGAGAATCAAAGATATTTGTTTTTAAAAGTTTTGAAATTTGTATATTGATTTTACAAAATTTAAGTTAAAATTGCACATTTTTTTTATTACATTCGATCTATTTATCTGTAAAATATATTATTGCAAACAAAATTTGAGAATTTTTCCTAGACTTATATAAATTTTCAGAATGACGTATTTTTCGTTTTTGAGATACTGTCAACCGGGGCTATTTTGTCTAACTTTTTATTTTTATTTTTGAAGAGAAAATTGTGAAAATCTGAAACTCCAGGATTCGCGGGGCTATTTTATCCATTATTTACAATCAACAATTTTTCAAAATTTTTCTCTCTTATAAGCAAATAAGTGTATGTTACATGTTTTTGTATACATTCTTTGGCATGAGTTGTGTCAAAAAAGTAGAAATAAGTAAATTATATATAAGATTCCATGACCAAGTGACCTCAAAAAATGTGATATCAATATTTAGACATTTTTTAAACAACTCCATCAAAAGAATAGTTTTTGGATAATTTTCTTTTATTCAACTCTAAACTATCTACAAAACATACCATAAATAGAAAAGACTGCGAAAAAAATTTTTTAGACTATTTTATAAATAAACTTTAATAAGTAAAATAGCCCCAACTACGATGCTATTTATACCCACGATTTAACTGTCTGCAACTCTAAAAAAATTTTTCCATGTCTAACTTATATGACAACCTTCATAAGGATGCCCACAACAAAAACCATTTTTGAAAAAAATTTATTTCTTAATTTTGATTTTTAATGGAGCTTTCATTAAAAAATTATCGTTTTCAAGGGTAAAATCGCCCCTGCTGACAGCGGATAATTATCAAGGCTATTCGGAACACGCAACAAACCAGTCACTGAAGCCCATTATCTCTGAAACGAAAAAAGAACGCCATTCTGATTGTTTAAAATAAGATTTTGTATTCACCTTTGGTTAAAGAAGCAACACTTTGTCCATCCGATTCATCTGTAAAATATTAAAAAGAATCTATTGTTAAGTAACAATAACATTAGACCAAAATATGGTTAAAATCAAATAAAAATTCAGTTAAATTAATATCTTGTAAAACAATAATTTCAGGAAAAATATTAACAGTACTTTGTAGGGCTTCATAGCCCACCGCCGAAATCTTCACGTTTTCGCCTTAACATTTGTCGCGTACAATACAAAAATCGCATTTATAAATATTGTGGAGACGCTGGGACAAGGTCCCCTAGGCCCCAAAGCCTCCATCATGCAGAAAAAATTCAGGGACCTACACCTAGCTCGAAATCTAAGTACCGTAATCTGGGGCTATAAGGAACAGATTTCAGCTTTAAAGTCTTGCAACTTTTTTTTTTATTGAAATATTGCCTTAATTTTTTTTTCTTTTCTTGATCTTGGCGAGCACTTTGAAGGGTTAAAGAATTGTTTTGATCAAAGCTGGAATTTTAAGCAAAAAATACGAAAAAGACGCATTTTTTCGAAATTACAAAATGGGGCCATAAGGAACAAGGCGGTAAAACTATTGGAAAACGTATTTAAAGTTAAAGAAATTATTTTTTATTGATCGAAAGTAAACACAGAATATAAAACAAATGTAAAAACAAAACTAAACGTTGCTGGTATCATCAGTTGAGGTCGATGATGATAACTGGTCGTTTTTTGTGACTTGTCGGTACCAACACTCTTTTACAATTTCGAACCAGCTTTGAACACTAAAAACCAAATTAGGTGATAAAAAACAAACGAAATTACGAAAAAGTTACGTTTTGACAACACACTTTAACAATTCGGAAGAAATAATTGTGTTCCTTATATACCCGCCGTTTGTGAATTTTGGTTTTTTTCTCGTAAATCTTACTGTAAATACAAAATAAACGTATTTATTACTTAGTGAACTCAATAAAACTTCCCATAATAAATCCCTTTAATAAAAAAAAATTACTTTGAGAAGTTAAAATAGGAACAACTTACCTCGGCAATCAAATGTTTCCCAAGTTTGAAATTTCACTAAAACACAATTACTCACTTACAAGCTACTACTGTTCACAAAATTATTAATAGTCGCAATTATTGCATTGAATAGTATTGGCAGTTACCCCAGCAACAATTTTTCAAAAACAAGTAACACAATTTATTCATACACGGCCCCCATAACTTCAACTCCACCCGAACACAGAGTTTTGTTCCTTATAGCCCCGGTGTTCCTTGTAGCCCCGGTTTACGGTAACCCTAAATTCGGCACTTTGACTATCGTCCGCCTGAAATTTTTTTAACAATTAAAAAAAAGATATAATATAAAATTAAATATAAGTTTAATAACTATAACAAGGTCAAAACACTGAAAATCATCAGGAAGTGATTGCTGACATATTTTTAAAAAGTATAGTTTTAATGTAATGTGAAACTAGACTAATTTTTTAGTTTAATGACCATAATAATATAAAGTGAATTTTATTTCGTTTAATATTTAAAAAATATAAGTCAAGTTTTTGGAAAAAAATTTCGGTTTTTCGGTTTTCATTTTTTAGACACTACCTCGATATGGGAAACCTTGAAAAACAGGTTTAGGGTCAAGTTGAGCAAAAATATTCTCAAAATTCCGAATATTCAATTTAAAATCGTGAAAATTTCAAAAAAAAAAAATGTCAAGTTTTTGGAAAAAAATTTCGGTTTTTCGGTTTTGATTTTTTAGACACTACATCGATATAGGAAACCCAGAAAAAAAGGTTTAGGGTCAAGTTGAGCAAAAATATTCTCAAAATTCCGAGTATTCAATTTAAAATCGTGAAAATTTCAAAAAAAAAAATGTCAAGTTTTTGGAAAAAAAATTCGGTTTTTCGGTTTTGATTTTTTAGATACCACCTCGATATAGAAAACCTAGAAAAAAAGGTTTGAAGTCAAAACGAGCAAAAATATTCCCAAAATTCCGAATATTCAATTTAAAATCGTTAAAATCTCAAAAAAATATGTCAAGTTTTTGGGAAAAAATTTCGGTTTTTCGGTTTTGATTTTTTAGACACTACCTCGATATGGGAAACCTAGAAAAACAGGTTTAGGGTCAAGTTGAGCAAAAATATTCTCAAAATTCCGAATATTCAATTTAAAATCATGAAAATCTCAAAAAAATATGTCAAGTTTTTGGAAAAAAATTTCGGTTTTTCGGTTTTGATTTTTTAGACACTACCTCGATATATAAAACCTAGAAAAAAAGGTTTGAAGTCAAGACGAGCAAAAATATTCCCAAAATTCCGAATATTCAATTTAAAATCGTTAAAATCTCAAAAAAATATGTCAAGTTTTTGGGAAAAAATTTCGGTTTTTCGGTTTTGATTTTTTAGACACTACCTCGATATGGGAAACCTAGAAAAACAGGTTTAGGGTCAAGTTGAGCAAAAATATTCTCAAAATTCCGAATATTCAATTTAAAATCATGAAAATCTCAAAAAAATATGTCAAGTTTTTGGAAAAAAATTTCGGTTTTTCGGTTTTGATTTTTTAGACACTACCTCGATATAGGAAACCCAGAAAAAAAGGTTTAGGATCAAGTTGACAAAAATATTCTCAAAATTCCGAATATTCAATTTAAAATCGTGAAAATTTAAAAAAAAATGTCAAGTTTTTGGAAAAAAATTTCGGTTTTTTGGTTTTGATTTTTTAGACACTACCTCGATATGAGAAATCTAGAAAAACCGGTTTAGGGTCAAGTTGAGCAAAAATATTCTCAAAATTCCGAATATTCAATTTAAAATCATGAAAATCTCAAAAAAATATGTCAAGTTTTTGGAAAAAAATTTCGGTTTTTCGGTTTTGATTTTTTAGACACTACCTCGATATAGGAAACCCAGAAAAAAAGGTTTAGGGTCAAGTTGAGCAAAAATATTCTCAAAATTCCGAATATTCAATTTAAAATCATGAAAATCTCAAAAAAATATGTCAAGTTTTTGGAAAAAAATTTCGGTTTTTCGGTTTTGATTGTTTAGACACTACCTCGATATAGGAAACCCAGAAAAAAAGGTTTAGGGTCAAGTTGAGCAAAAATATTCTCAAAATTCCGAATATTCAATTTAAATTCGTGAAAATTTCAAAAAAAAATGTCAAGTTTTTGGGAAAAAATTTCGGTTTTTCGGTTTTGATTTTTTAGACACTACCTCGATATAGGAAACCCAGAAAAAAAGGTTTAGGGTCAAGTTGAGCAAAAATATTCTCAAAATTCCGAATATTCAATTTAAAATCATGAAAATCTCAAAAAAATATGTCAAGTTTTTGGAAAAAAATTTCGGTTTTTCGGTTTTGATTTTTTAGACACTACCTCGATATAGGAAACCCAGAAAAAAAGGTTTAGGGTCAAGTTGACAAAAATATTCTCAAAATTCCGAATATTCAATTTAAAATCGTGAAAATTTAAAAAAAAATGTCAAGTTTTTGGGAAAAAATTTCGGTTTTTCGGTTTTGATTTTTTAGACACTACCTCGATATAGGAAACCCAGAAAAAAAGGTTTAGGGTCAAGTTGAGCAAAAATATTCTCAAAATTCCGAATATTCAATTTAAAATCATGAAAATCTCAAAAAAATATGTCAAGTTTTTGGAAAAAAATTTCGGTTTTTCGGTTTTGATTTTTTAGACACTACCTCGATATAGGAAACCCAGAAAAAAAGGTTTAGGGTCAAGTTGACAAAAATATTCTCAAAATTCCGAATATTCAATTTAAAATCGTGAAAATTTAAAAAAAAATGTCAAGTTTTTGGAAAAAAATTTCGGTTTTTTGGTTTTGATTTTTTAGACACTACCTCGATATAGGAAACCCAGAAAAAAAGGTTTAGGGTCAAGTTGAGCAAAAATATTCTCAAAATTCCGAATATTCAATTTAAAATCGTGAAAATTTCAAAAAAAAATGTCAAGTTTTTGGGAAAAAATTTCGGTTTTGATTTTTTAGACACTACCTCGATATGGGAAACCTAGAAAAACAGGTTTAGGGTTAAGTTGAGCAAAAATATTCTCAAAATTCCGAATATTCAATTTAAAATCGTGAAAATTTCAAAAAAAAAAATGTCAAGTTTTTGAAAAAAAATTTCGGTTTTTCGGTTTTCATTTTTTAGACACTACCTCGATATGGGAAACCTTGAAAAACAGGTTTAGGGTCAAGTTGAGCAAAAATATTCTCAAAATTCCGAATATTCAATTTAAAATCATGAAAATCTCAAAAAAATATGTCAAGTTTTTGGAAAAAAAATTCGGTTTTTCGGTTTTGATTTTTTAGATACCACCTCGATATAGGAAACCTAGAAAAAAAGGTTTAGGGGCAAGTTAAGCAAAAATATTCTCAAAATTCCGAATATTCAATTTAAAATCGTAAAAATTTCAAAAAAAAATGTCAAGTTTTTGGAAAAAAATTTCGGTTTTTTGGTTTTGATTTTTTAGACACTACCTCGATATGGGAAACCTAGAAAAAAAGGTTTAGGGTCAAGTTGAGCAAAAATATTCTCAAAATTTCGAATATTAAATTTAAAATCAGGAAAATTTCAAAAAAAGAATTTTAAGTTTTCGAAAAAAAATTCCGGTTTTTTGGTTTTTATTTTTTAGACACTACCGCGATATGGGAAACCTAGAAAACAAAGTTTCAGATCAAATCGAAGAAACATATTATTGAAATTGCGATTATGTTTCACATAACATTAAAAGTAGACTTTTGAAAAATATGTCAGCAACCACCTCCAGATAATTTTCTGTGGATTGACTCAATTATAATTACAATCGGAATTTTAGTTTTATGTGTAGAGTATAGTGGAGTGAAGAAGCCACGTTGAAATAAGACCATTAGAAGTATATACCAAAACTATTAAACTTTTTTATTTAGATTTATATTTAAAAATTTTTAAATTTAGTAAATAAAACAAAAACAAAGACATTCGGACCAAATTTTATTATACTTTTATGATTTTTATAATTTCACAAAAATGATCTTATAAATTTTATTTTCTTGAGTACCTAAAGAGGAAATCGTTTAGATTTCGAAACTTTGGAGAAATATATAATAAAATTTGGTCCGAATGTCTTCGTTATTATTTTATTTATTAATTAATTTACACCTGCTCAGACGTAAAAGACTGATTTATAATTTAAAATTTTGAATAATTTAATTTTGAATAAATTTCATGTACATTATGGATTAAAAAATCTGTCAGTGAATTTTTCATCTACGAAAATTAAAAACTTTAATTTTGGTTTAATGGAATATCTAATTTATTGAAATTTGTGCTTATTGAATTTTAGTTTGATTAAAGTGTGGAATAATTGATTTCTTAGTTAATTATAATTTAGAATAATTGAATTTTAAATAGAATAAAATTAAAAACAATTGAATTTTTATTGACTTTGATTGGAAAATAGATTTCAGAAATATAAAATTAGAAAACATTTAACTAAGAACCGAAATAGGGGACAATTAAATAAAACAGTTGAAATAAATGGCAATTTTATAAAAATGTAAAAAATGGTGTAAGATGAGTTTGTGATTATTGTAATTTGTTGAATCAATACTTCCTTCAGAAACTAAAAAAGCATTAAAAACCTGCGGTATTTTTAATAAAATAAAACAAAATGTTTAATTTACCACAATCATGAGGCCTTTTTTTACTACGGGATCTCGAGATCTCAAAGTCTGCAATTCCTGAAGGACCTGCTTCTTCCCCTTTCATGTTAGAATCGACATTACTCTTGATCCTTGACATTTTTGCAACAGTTTCACAAGGTCCTGAATCTCCCTTCGCCAAATTGTCTTCACTTTTATCCGCATGCAGAATTTTATTCTGCCATTCCATCACCGATTTTTCATTCAAGTACGCTTGATATATGTAATCTGAAAGAAAGTTAATCAATTTATTAAATTACTTGTTAAATAATAATTGTTTACCATTTTGTGTTTTTTTTGCAACATTTGTGATTTTTATCTAATTTTTATAAACAACAGCTCACTTTGCTCTTTTAAAAAATCTCTACAATTCTGTTGTCAAATTTTCTAAACAATATTTAACGAATGGAACTTTATAGATTTTTTAAAAGAATAAAATGAGCCGCTGTTTGTAATAATCAAACAGAAATTAATTTTATTAATTAACAAATTTTAATAAAAAACACAAATTGTTCATTATTAATACAAATTCTTAGCTTAAAGTAATTTTCCATAAAAAATGTACAAGTAAATCCTACAAAATTAGTTATAATCAATTTTCCACGTATTAAATTATTTTTTTCTTAAAATAGGTAAATAATTTCCTAATATCTATAAGGTAACAAAAATTATTAATTAAAATAAAAACTGTCTATTTCGCCAGACGTCTGTCAAATGAAATTATAGATTGAAAGACTGGTGAAATAAATAAAATGAACTATTTCGCCAGTGAAAAAAGGGTCAAGCGCGAATTCATGTTTTTACAGGAATAAAAAAAACATTTTTACAAATTCTGTTGTACATTTAAAAAAAAACTGAGAAAACCGTTTAGAGATATTATTTTTTAATAAATGAACAACAATTTGTTCAAATAAACCTACACATCAGCGAGAAAAGTAAGAAAAACTGTGGTGCTTTGAGGTTACACAGCATGCGCACATTTTCGCAAATAGTAATAATTTTCAGAATTTCTTGTATGCAAATAAAAAAATTGTTTTGAAGGCTGACTCTTCCAATTTTATCATATTCGTCTAAATTGCAAAAAAATCCTTTTGAAATAAGTTTTTCATAATTTATTATAGACTTCCTACTTTCTTTTGTTTTCCAATCAGGTTGTAATAAATTAAATTAAAAATTTTTTATGATTTTAATTTTTATTAAAAACTAATTTAAAATTATTATTAAACTATACTTACTGTCGTCCAGGTCTTTGACTTCGCACAAAATTTTATCCCCTTCTCGCACCAGCTCGTTATTTTCCGATATCACCACTCCGTTGATAAATATTCGCCTTTTCGTTCCCGACATTATTGTTAATTATGATAAAAACTATAAATAAATATTAAAATAAAACTAAAACACGCTTTCAGCGTGTACGAGCGGTGGCCAAAAAGAAAGAAGCAGCAGCAACAGGGGTTAGGTTGGGTTAAACCTTAAGCTGACTTCACATGTGCAATACACAAAAATCATAAACTGAAGTTGAGAACCTTTTTGCTCTTTCAGAGTGCTCAGAGCGCCAGGATCGAAAACACCCTAATGCTAACGGAAATTGTTTCCCTAAAATGCGTTTCGAATTTAAAAAAAAATTGGCACTTTCCGATCAAACACTCCCGTCAAATTGAAAACACTATTGTTCACTTAAAGCAAAAATGTTTAAAATTGCTAAAAACATAAACTAAAATTATACTGCAACCACAATACACATAACCGCAATTAACACTCGTATAAAAAAAACTTCTAGTTTAAAAAACAAACTTTTAAAAAACGATACTTTTGTATATTATTCTTTTCAAGAAAATATTTAAAACGCGTTCACACGACAGTTCACAAGCGCGGCGAAAACAAGACTGAACAAGCAAACTCTCTCTATCACCTCGGGTCTATTGCCGAGTGAGTGGTATGGAAGGAGTGAGGATGAATTCATGAGGCTGAGTCCACAACAGAAAACTTGCTTTGCAAGTTGGTTAGAGAGCCTATGTTAATACATAGGCTCTCTAACCAACTTGCAAAGCTGATCTATTTAACCACCCCTGTTGTGGACTCAGCCTGATATGGCGTTGTAAGAAGAGGAGGACCCAAGGCGGACCAATAAAATTCACAAGCGTCTCTCTCTCTCTTTCTGTTGCGCGATTTGAAAAATGGAAACACATAAGGACATTTCAGTAGAATGATAAACTTTTTAATAAGAATTAATTTTTTTTCAAACATATTATTAAAAATCTCTTCGCGCATAAACATTTTTGTTGTACAGATATGTGATTAAAGAAAAAGTTGTTTGTTTTTCTACAGCATTTGAGAAAGAAAGCAAAAAATTGATTTTACTGAAAATTGAGAAAAATACAAGTTTGAAATTTTCTGAGAAAAGAAATCTCAATTTTTTGTACTTTTCGGGAAAAAGTGTGATAACTTTTTTGATTCTGGTTCTACGGAAAAGTGTTTAAAGGCAAAGTTGTTTATTTTTCCTCTAAATTTGAGGAAAAAATAACAAATGTTAATGAACGAAAATGATATAGAATGAGAGACAATGAGAAAGAATAAGAGAGAATGAGTGAGAATAAAAGAAAATGAGAGAGAATAAGAAAGAATAATAGGGAATGGGAGACAATAAGAGAGAATAAAAAAAAAGAGAGAATGAATGAAAATTAGTGAGAATAAAAGAGAATGAGAAAGAATAAGCAAGAATAAGAGAAAATGTGAGACAATAATACAAAATAAGATAGAATGAGAGAGAATTAGCAAGAATAAGAGAGAATGAGAGAAAATAATACAAAATAAGATAGCATGAGAGAGAATAAGAGAGAATGACAGAAAAACAAATGTTATTCAAAATTGAGAAAAGTGTCAAGGGTTAAAATACTTACTTAAAAAAATTCCCGAGTAACGTGTTTGAAGGAATTTCAGTTGATTTTTCAATTTCCAACCCACCATAAATAAAACTGAATTTAAGTTAAAAATATATTAATTATAATAACGTAAATAAAATAACAGTTGGCGGAAATTTGTTTCTCTAAGATGCGTTTCAAATTTAAAAGAGGCACTTCCCAATCCAACACTCCCGTAAAATTAAAAACACTATCGTTCACATAAAGAAAAATTGTTTTAAAATTGCTAAAAACAGAAGCTATGCTAACACTGAATTCACAATACACATAACCACAATTAACACTCACAAATAAAGGAACTTCAAGCTTAAAAAAACACACAATTAAAAAGCGATACTTTTGTGTATTATTCTTTTCAAGAGAATATTTAAAACGCGTTCACACGACCGTTCAGCAGCGCAGCTAAAACAAGACTGAACCTGCAATCACTCTCTCTCCCTCCCTCTTCGCGAGTATACTGCTGAGTGAAAGACCCAAATAGAAGTGGGAAAAAATTTATGTTATGGCGCCACTAAGGGAGAAAAACGTCTGGCTTTATGGACCATACTTAAATTACGTCAAACCTTAGGGGATAGGTGGGGGTCAAAATATTTGTATTTTCAGATGTGAAACTTGTCTTTATCCGATTTGAAAATACTACTTTTCAGATGTGAAATTATAACTTCTCAGATATGAAAATACTACTTTTCAGATATGAAATTATAACTTTTCAGATCTGATAATACTACTTTTCAGATCTGAAATTATAACTTTTCGGATCTGAAAATACAGTTTATCAGATGTGAAATTATAACTTTTTATAAGTAGTATTTTCAGATCTGAAAAGTTATAATTTCTCATCTGAAAAGTAGTATTTTCAGATCTGAAAAGTTATATCTTCTCATCTGAAAAACAATAACTTCTCATCTGGAAAACTGTATTTTCAGATCAGAAAAGTTATAACTTCTCATCTGAAAAGCAGTATTTTAAGATCTGAAAAGTTATAATTTCTCATCTGAAAAACTGTATTTTCAGATCTGAAAAGTTATAATTTCTCATCTGAAAAGTAGTATTTTCAGATCTGAAAAGTTATAGCTTCTCATCTGAAATGTAGTATTTTCAGATCTGAAAAGTTATAGCTTCTCATCTGAAAAACTGTATTTTCAGATCTGAAAAGTTATAGCTTCTCATCTGAAAAACTGTATTTTCAGATCTAAAAAGTTATAGCTTCTCATCTGAAAAACTGTATTTTCAGATCTAAAAAGTTATAACTTCTCATCTGAAAAGCAGTATTTTCAGATCTGAAAAGTTATAATTCCTCATCTGAAAAACTGTATTTTCAAATCTGAAAAATAATAATTTCTCATCTGAAAAGTAATATTTTCAGATCTGAAAAGTTATAGCTTCTCATCTGAAATGTAGTATTTTCAGATCTGAAAAGTTATAGCTTCTCATCTGAAAAACTGTATTTTTAGATCTGAAAAGTTATAGCTTCTTATCTGAAAAGTTATAATTTCTCATCTGAAAAACTGTATTTTCAGATCTGAAAAATAATAATTTCTGATCTGAAAAGTAGTATTTTCAGATCTGAAAAGTTATAGCTTCTCATCTGAAAAATAATAACTTCTCATCTGAAAAGTAGTATTTTCTGATCTAAAAATTTATAGCTCCTCATCTGAAAAACTGTATTTTCAGATCTGAAAAGTTATAACTTCTCATCTGAAAAACTGTATTTTCAGATCTGAAAAGTTATAATTTCTCATCTGAAAAACTGTATTTTCAGATCTGAAAAGTTATAATTTCTCATCTGAAAAACTGTATTTTCAAATCTGAAAAGTAATAACTTCTCATCTGAAAAACTGTATTTTCAGATCTGAAAAGTTATAACTTCTCATCTGAAAAACTATATTTTCAGATCTGAAAAGTTATAGCTTCTCATCTGAAAAGTAGTATTTTCAGATCTGAAAATTTATAGCTCCTCATCTGAAAAACTGTATTTTCAGATCTGAAAAGTTATAACTTCTTATCTGAAAAGCAGTATTTTCAGATCTGAAAAATTATAATTCCTCATCTGAAAAACTGTATTTTCAGATCTGAAAAATAATAATTTCTCATCTGAAAAGTTATAATTTCTGATCTGTAAAGCAGTATTTTCAGATCTGAAAAGTTATAATTCCTCATCTAAAAAACTGTATTTTCAGATCTGAAAAATAATAATTTCTCATCTGAAAAGCAGTATTTTCAGATCTGAAAAGTTATAATTTCTCATCTGAAAAACTGTATTTTCAGATCTGAAAAGTTATAATTTCTCATCTGAAAAACTGTATTTTCAGATCCGAAAAGTTATAATTTCTGATCTGAAAAACTGTATTTTCAGATTTGAAAAGTTATAATTTCTCATCTGAAAAACTGAATTTTCAGATATGAAAAGTTATAATTTCTCATCTGAAAAACTGTATTTTCAGATCTGAAAGATAATAATTTCTGATCTGAAAAGTAGTATTTTCAGATCTGAAAAGTTATAGCTTCTCATCTGAAAAATAATAACTTCTCATCTGAAAAGTAGTATTTTCAGATCTGAAAAGTTATAGCTTCTCATCTGAAAAACTGTATTTTCAGATCTGAAAAGTTATAACTTCTCATCTGAAAAGCAGTATTTTCAGATCTGAAAATTTATAATTCCTCATCTGAAAAACTGTATTTTCAGATCTTAAAAATAATAATTTCTCATCTGAAAAGTTATAATTTCTGATCTGAAAAGCAGTATTGGCAGATCTGAAAAGTTATAATTCCTCATCAGAAAAACTGTATTTTCAGATCTGAAAAATTATAATTTCTCATCTGAAAAACTGTATTTTCAGATGTGAAAAGTTATAGCTTCTCATCTGAAAAGTTATAATTTCTCATCTGAAAAACTGTATTTTCAGATCTGAAAAGTTATAATTTTTCATCTGAAAAACAGTATTTTTAGATCTGAAAAGTAATAACTTCTCATCTGAAAAACTGAATTTTCAGATCTGAAAAATAATAACTTCTCATCTGAAAAGTAGTATTTTCTGATCTAAAAATTTATAGCTCCTCATCTGAAAAACTGTATTTTCAGATCTGAAAAGTTATAACTTCTCATCTGAAAAACTGTATTTTCAGATCTGAAAAGTTATAATTTCTCATCTGAAAAACTGTATTTTCAGATCTGAAAAGTTATAATTTCTCATCTGAAAAACTGTATTTTCAAATCTGAAAAGTAATAACTTCTCATCTGAAAAACTGTATTTTCAGATCTGAAAAGTTATAACTTCTCATCTGAAAAACTATATTTTCAGATCTGAAAAGTTATAGCTTCTCATCTGAAAAGTAGTATTTTCAGATCTGAAAATTTATAGCTCCTCATCTGAAAAACTGTATTTTCAGATCTGAAAAGTTATAACTTCTTATCTGAAAAGCAGTATTTTCAGATCTGAAAAATTATAATTCCTCATCTGAAAAACTGTATTTTCAGATCTGAAAAATAATAATTTCTCATCTGAAAAGTTATAATTTCTGATCTGTAAAGCAGTA